TAATATATCCATATACAGAGTGCTAAGTAGCAAAAAGGAGACATGCTTTAATGTCAAATGTGGTAGCATAGATGAGGCTAAATAATTATACAATGAAAGAAATCCTAGCTGGGAGAAAGGGAGTGAGCAATGATGGGAGAGGGAGGATAGTGTTTGTGTGTGTGTAGCTGTCAAAATAAAAAAGAGTCATATAAGAAGGCAAGTCCCCAATGGTATCGGGCCCTTTACGTAACAGTGAAGACAATGCAATTACCTACTCTGACAGATAACACATCAGTGGTTAGCTGAGGTGGGAGGGGTGGGAGAGAGTAAGGTTTCAAGGAATGACTGTGAAGAAGTGGAAGAAAGAGAGATCAAGAAAGGAAAGAATACAACAAACAAAAACAACTGCTCTATGTGGAAATGCTGTATGTTCAGTCTGTCGGCTATAGAAGCAGTTTCTATTTCAGATTATGTGTGATTTGTTTCATGTCAACTACCAAATGGTTAAGCATATATAAATACACACGTTCTACCCATCAATAAAAAGAATAAATAGTTATCACAAATGGGCAGATGACATGGATGGGCAATTCCTAAGTGAAATCAGGAAACTGACAAATTTACTAAATCACAAAAGGAACAAAAATAAGAATGTACTTATAAATAATGCTTCTTGTATTTTACATCATTGCACGCTACAATTACAGTGATAAATGTAAAATCTCTTGGTTATAACTCATGTAGATAACACTTCTGAGACAGGGGCCTCTCAGTTCTGGCAAGTATATAAGAGGGATACAATTTTTCTGGGGGGGGGGAGAATTTAATAATACATAGTAAAAATCCAAACACTATGAAGCTTTGATACAATAAATCTACCATTAGGAACCAATCCTATGTAAACAGGGGTCACATGAAGATATAGAAGTCACTATATTTATTTTTAAAATAGTGAAAAGACCAAAAAGAACACAAAATTCATCAAAGAATTGATTTAATAAGACACAGCATATTTTACCAAGGCAGCCATGAAAAATAAAATTATAAAAAAGTTTTAGAGACATAGAAAGATGTTTGTTGGATATCACCAACTAATAAAATCCACAAAGCCAGTATGCAGACTATATTTAACTTTAGGCAAAATAAAGGATCTACATCGATGTTGAAGACAAAGATATTTGCACTCATTACATCAAGGTTGAGTTATTAGATATATTTTCTTTTTTTTTTATTTTATTTCTACTTGTTCTACAATGGAGATATTGCTATGATAATTAAAACTCCAAGAAAAGCTATTTCAGAAAAAAAAAATCAAGATTCTAACCTATAAATGAATACTATTGGACCTGGTGGTCCTTCTAAAAACATTAACGTTACAAAAAGATTTGGATATTTTGGAAGTTTTGCTCTGACAATGGAGACTGTAGGGTACTGCTTTAGGGCTGGACCAAAGGTAGCAATGCCACAGGACTGCTCTTCCTTCTGGAGAATCTGGTATACCTTTGAACTCCTTTCAGGAAGGAGAACTATCACCAACTTCCAGAGAAGTAGTGCTTGTGTTGCCAGGACAATGGCTCAGGTAGTCTGTATCCCCTCTCTACAGCAGATCCCAGTAGGCATTTCCCACACAGAAACCACACAGGCAAGAGTGAAGAGTAACAAGAGACTTGAGTCCTAAATTTCTACTTTACATTCATGGGAAGTAAGGCCTAGAGGGCCCACTCAAGTGCCATTCCATCAGCTGCAGCTGTGGCTTGAAGGGAAATCAGAGCCAGTGGGTCATATAACTAAAACGGCCATTTCTGGAAATAGATTCACTCACTTGCTGGAATCTCAACACTCAAGTCTCAATGAATAAGAGCTAGCTCTGAGACATGGCTTTTAAGACCCTGAATCTCCCTTCTCACCTTCCTCTAGTGAAACAGGAGAACCAAAGCCTAGAAACCACTCTTCCTGTGCCACAGAACCACGTGATACCACCATACATGATTAGGTTACAGGAGTTATCCCCATACACCAAGAAATACTTGAGCCTAACCCTGCTGGCTACAACAGGGCTGGAAAATGGCTTTCGTGCATGAAATTAAGTGGATCATGCTTGGATATTAATGAGTTTCAAGGTAGTGTCTGTCCTGAGTGACAAAAGGGATCAAAATCAGAAATTTTTGGTGTGGGAAGATTGCTAAATGGTACTTTGATACATGTTTTCATCTTGGTCTAGAATATATTACCCTTAAAATAAGATCAATTGTTCAGAGTACTAGATAGATTCACCTTGAATTCTTATTTTTACTACATCATCTTGTAAACAAAAGCTAGGAGCTGGGCAGATGGCTCAGTGGTTAGGCATGTTCATTCCTCTTGCAGAAGATCTGAGATTGATTCTCAGCATCTGTGTCTGGTGAATTAAAACTTCCTATACTTCCAGCTCCAAGAGATCTGACTGCAATCATGTTCATATACACACATGATACAAAAGTTAAAAATCGCTAAGTATTCATTTTAGCATCCTATCATAGTACATCTGTTTTTTTTAAACTCAGAATTCAAGATGCTCTGAATTTGATGCTCCTTATTGTTTTAATTTCTTAGGAATTCAGTGTAAAACTGCCTTCTAGGGCTGTTTCTGGTAACAGAAGCCCCAGCCAGAGGAGCCAGGGGTAGGAATGTTTCCAACTGGGACAAACGGGTGAACAAATCTGAGTAAGTCAATATCGGGGGAAGCTCAAGATGGACAGAAGACATTATAATTGTTGAATTCTGATGAGCCTTGCTTATCTAAAATTCCAGTCATCAGACTCAAAGCAAAGTGTTGTACAATTATTTCTAGAAGGATCCCTGATAAATCTCTTGCATATTTCATCTCAGGATTCATGATACCTTTCTCTCTTTCTTTCTTTCTTTCTTTCTTTCTTTCTTTCTTTCTTTCTCTCTCTCTCTCTCTCTCTCTCGCTTTCTTTCCCTTCCTTCCCTTCCTTCCTTCTTTCTTTCTTTCTTTCTTTCTTTCTTTCTTTCTTTCTTTCTTTCTTTCTTTCTTTCTTTCTTTC